CTTCAGGGTCATTCACCTGAAGGTAATTTAGATTTAAACTCGCAATTAGCCATAATCTGCAGAAGGCGCATTATATTCCTGTCGGACAAAAAAGCAACAACCTTGAAGCAAAATAATTTTAATCTTTATGTGGTGCGCCAATGATGATTTTATCACCATGAAAAGACAAACTCCTGTCATTTCTATTTCTAAATGGCTATGAACATAAAAAAGAGATTTGAATGCAGTTGAAATTGTACAAATTCAAAAGCTTCTTGAAATGGTAATCTAGAACAGTGCCATACAGAGACGAGAAATGTTCATGTAAAACATGTGGAATAGTTATAGATATAATTAGGCTTTATTCAGCAGAAAATAACTTCCTGTTTCAAATTCATAGCCTAGTCCAAAACATAAAAGAGACACAGAACAAACATTATAATATTTGTGAAGATTATCTTGAACTGTATATTTTTGTTTGACATTCAGCTGAACTACCAAATGTATATCCCCAAGGAATTTATTTTCTGCCTATTTTATTTTTTTTTTCCCTCCATTTGAAAGGAGAGGTTTCTAAGCATTGCTGGAGAAGATTATGGAGAGCTTATACGGCTCCATAACTAAAAGACAGAAATGTTTTCCGTGTCCAGAAAAAAACATATTAGAAAATTCAATCATTCAAATGTTTAAATTGAAAAGACAAAGGATGCTCCACTGAGTTTTTTTGGTACATGTTATGAAAATGTAAAACATAAAAGGCTAATACCATGTCCCAAGCGAATTAAAATCAATGCAATGTATGCTTATCAATTTCTTTAAATTGCAGTAAAATAGGCAGTGGTGGGAAGTAACAAGTACAAGTGCTTCGTTGCTGTACTTAAGTACAATTTCCGTGTATCTGTACTTTACTTAAGTAGATTTAATAATCTACTTTTACTCCACTACATTTTACAGTAAGTATCTGTACTTTCTGCTTCACTACATTTCTACAGAACCGTCGCGTTACTCGTTACATCCAAGTCGCGTTGCGGTTTTTTCCGTTAAAATATGAAGTTCAGGGTCTTAAGGTGGCGCCGTAAAATCCAAGCAATAACGTGACTTAGTGTCTGTCACCCATCGCCTCCCCCTTTACTCGCACGCGTAGCTCCAGACATGCGCAGTGGTTTCCTCTGAGCGGGAGAAGATGTCTGTCTGATCGTCAGTTATATAATAGTGCTGCATAAATCATAAGATATGGCGACATGTAAAACCAGCAGCGCTTCGCTTTCACAGACGGTGGGGACTTCGTCCAACTTTTAGCTTAAAGAAAGGTAAGCTATGTGGACGTGATGCTAGCAAAGCTAGCTGTACTGTCTGAGACACATATGTTGCATCCGCGATGAAAAAAAGTTGTCACTCCTGCGCTGAATTATTGTGAGGAGGTGTTGACTGAGGTGTCGCAAATATGGGACAACGCTGTGACCAAAGTCTGCATTGATATGACAGTCAGGGACGATCCAATTCTTCTGGATGGATCTTTACTGATTAAATTTATTTCAGCTGTAAGTATTTAATATATAGGTGTTTTATAGGAATGTGGATCTTTTAGATCAATTTGAGAAGCAATTTTGATAGGTAAAACTTATTTTTTTTTGTGTCACGTAGCGCGGGGTGCTGGTCTTGACTTGATCTTGGGTAGGTGGTCTTGACTACAACTCTGCAACGTGGCTCCTCGGTTTTCCTGCTGCTCATACAATATTCTGACATATTCATATCAATAATATGTGTTTATTTATTTTAGCTTTGACTTATACAAGCAGTTAGAAAAAAAATATTAAATTTAGTTGTAGCCTTCAGGTGCCAATAATGTGCAGATTTTCAGCTCATTACACAGAAAAACAGATTTGAATGTAACAATTGTTTTAGGACAGATCTGAATTGAGTTCAAATAAAAAGAAGTAATAGTTTATTTATTACTCAGAGTCTGATGTTTTCATGCCTTTGTCGCTGTTAATTGCAATGATCTGCTGACAGGTAACAAAAACACAACATTTAGAATCAGAATATCACAGCAGACCATTACAAAACACCAATAACGAAATGTTAGCTCAGCGAAAAGTCTCCTGCTTACCACATTCAAAGCTGATGTTATGAAAAGGTTTTTTCCAATTTTTTTTTTTTTCTAACAAGGAAGTCATTCAGACACAACATACAGAAATGAAATATTTCACATCAACTAAATATAGAAATATAAAGTGTCATGCTGATTGTAAAAGATGATGTCTGAAGGTTTTGGATGCTTTACTGCAGAAGGACCACCTCCATCATAGAAACATTACAATACACATGACTGCTATCGCTTTGTGCTTGAGACAAATTTTCCTCAGAACATTGTCAGAGATTAGTAGACGCAGAACTTATTTCAAACAGAAGTTGTAGGACCAGACAGTACAGTGTCCTTTTTGTTGAAGACTTTTTCGTTTTGGTTTGTTTTTGAGAAACACAATGTTGATTTCTGCTCTTTAAGTACAATTTAATTTCCCCCATATAAAGGAAACAGAATTAGACAGTACTATGTGAAAATGTCATAATACATAACTGAAGATGAATGTTGCTTTATTTTCCAACATAAAATGTCTTGCGGAAACTGATGGAAATAAATTCCTAACCTCAGTGGAGAAAAAAAGAACAAAAAAAAGAGAGAAAAAATGTTAGTAGGGCTGAAAGGACAGACAAGATATTGTGAATTATTTCACAACATCCACAGTATGTGTGTTATTGAGTTTGCGATAATATAATAATAAAAACCTTACATGTCCCCTTTAAAAATCCAAAGTTCATGCATTTTCTGAGTCCGGTTGGTCTTTTCATTTAATTCTTGGAAAAAGAGCAACCAATAACTCCACTTTGTAGCAAACATTTTAATTGATGGCTAGCTCTACTTTGAGGTGAGTGATACTCTAAATAACCCTTAAGTGACACACGAATGTTAATTTATTACTCCCTTCTTGAACTCTGAGCTCAGCAAATACGTGACTTTGATTCCCTTTTCAAAGGATCCACTCATTATTAAGATAGACCACGTGTGCCACTTTGTTTTTTAGCTCTGCCGGCTAAATTCCCATCGAGTTGAATATAGCCCACAGTCTCACCAAGGCCGTGCCAGCTGCCTCGTCTCCCTCTTTGCTCAAGTGTCCCACATACGGTGTAAGAGAATTGCTGGTTACAGTGCTCTTAGGACCGGCAGAGAAGCAGCAGGTTAGAAAAAAACACCTCCCGGGAGAAATGATTCAAGCTATTGGAGAGCCAGAGAGGCGAATAAAGTGAACGCAATTTCAAAGGGGAAATAAATGGAGGTCATGGTGTTTTGATGTTCCTGTACTGGTCACAAAAATAACTCGGCTGATGATGGAATCAATCACACCTTTGTGGCAGTGAATATTAATGAAGACGTGTTAGCTGTTGTTCTTTTTCTTTTTTTTTATTTTCCTTCTTAGCATTTTTAGTAAACACTGTTATCATGGAGCTTTGCCATCACCAGCTCCTCGCAGGCTCAAGTGAGAGTTTTCAGCAGCAGCAGCGCAGTGTGATACCGGCTGAATCGAGGAATATTATTTGAAATGTGATGGGTGGTGGTTGTTGTTTTTTTCTTTTTTTTTTTTCTTTCTCCTTCTGCTGTTCTTTTTCTTGTGTTTTTGTTGTGACAAGTGAGTGCAAGGTCAAAACGGAGTTTATCCTCTGATATCACCTGCCAGTCCAGACAAGAGAAACGCTCACTGAAGGTGACACTGCTTTGGTGTCTGCACTCAACATGCCACAGCATCTTTCATTTCCTGCACGCCAGAAATTTACAACTCATGGTTTGACAGGAGGAGTAAACATCTCTAATATGACCCAGACGGTGGTGCTCCTGTACTCCAAAGTAAACCTGCTCCAACCTGCATGATCTTTGAGAAGTCCAATGAAAACAAAAACAAACAAAAAAAAAAAAAACAAGCCACTTTTTTCTTCTTTTGACAATGCACCCTTACCTTGCAAAACTATTCATACCCCTTCAACTATTTCAGATTTTGTCTAGGTGCCAACTTTGCACATCTTTACACCAAAATGTCTGCCCTTACTTCATTGCAAAATAGCTGTATCTCAATTAACATTGGATGGAGAGTTATGTGAACATCTGTCATCAAGTCTTGCCACAAATCTCCTTTTGGTTTTCATTTTATCTCTGGCTGTTTATATTTAATAGCAATTTATGTCTGCTTATGCAGATGCAGACAAAGCCCTCTGTATGTCTTTCACGTATTTTAGTTTGTCATCATGGAGCTTGTAGTGTACATCAAAATGGACAAATGAAGCAATATCACTGGTAATTGTGGGGCCAGGGTGCCTCACATGCACTCAACAGAAGGAACAAAGAGGAAAAATCTGATCAAATATGCCCTAGCAGGCACTCAGAAATATTGAAAGTGTCATTCGTCATCGGCTTTGTGCACCGGTGTGATCAGGGAGAAAACTTTCCAAACTAAATGTTGTGATATATTGAATGGCAGCACAGACCACGTCTATCTATCGTGGTGCATCTTTTTTTTTTTTTTTTTGTATCTATTTGTTCTGAGAATGAAAAGCATCATGATTTCCTCTACCGTCGCCATGTTTGGTATGTTCAGAAACATTTGAATTCAGAAGTTTAGTCAGAACTACCCTCTGGTGGTTATATTGCCTAATGGCCATGCCAGCCTAATAAACATGTTAAAAGCAGTGATGCTTGACAACAATTAAAGTGAACATGCCTGTTGATGTGTACGTGTGAATTGAGCAAACATGGCTCTTTATAGTTGACTTCCTGAAAGAAAGGGACTCTGCCCCATTCTTTTTCAGACTCTAACATGTTTTATTCCTAGAAGCCACCTAACACCCCTGTCCCTTAGCCTGATGCTAACATAGCCCACCTGAGCTGTGGCTTTCTTCAGTTCTATCATGAGCCTCTTGGCTGCCTTCATTTGCTGGGAATGTTAGTGTACAACTCTCAAAAAAATTAAAAGACCTCTTAAAATGATCAGTTCCTCTGATTTTACTTTTTATAGATATACGTTTGAGTAAGATGAACATTGTTCTATTATTCTATGAACTTTTGACAACATGTCTCCGAAATCCTAGCAAAAATGTTGTATTTGTTTGCAGAAAATGAGAAATGGTCAATATAACAAAAAACGATGCAGTGATGTCAGAAAAAGATGCAGTGATGTCAGACCTCAGACAAGGCAACAAAACAAGTTCATATTCATTTAGAAACAACAATGTAAATGTTTTAACTTAGGAAGAGTTGAGGAATCAATATTTGGAGGAATAACCAGGAGGATTTCAATGGGATTCAGTGTCGTGGTCTCTTATTTTTTTCCAGAGCTGTAGGTGGATTGTGGAGTCTTGGTACATTTGCAGCTGTGCTAGTTTTACAATTTTTGACATAAATTGACCAATTTATGTGTCAAATTAAATTGAACAGTGCTTCACAAGAAGCCCAAAGCTTGAAAAATTGTTTTACAACATAACCCTGCTTTTAGCTTCTCTTCACCTTAATCAAACCACTCTGCGGTGCTCCTTGGACTTGACAATGCAAAGTTTGTTCACTAGTGTTTTCCACCAAACCTCGAAGGCCTTCTCAAACCGCATGTGTTGATAGTGAGATCAAATTACACACAGTTGGATTGTGTTTACGATTCAGTTCAGTGTCAGGGAAAAGGGGGGAAATGGATGGCGCACTGTTCAGATTTTAATTTGTATAATAAAACAATTTTTATATATAAAAAAAAAGTTTTTCAAAATTTTAAAAAAGTACACAATAGTTGTTCTGTAGTAAAGCTCAAGGGGTATATTTGCAACGTGAGCCAGAAGCCCTTAAAATCTCTTGAGCTCCCAAACCAATAATAGACTTATTTCCAGATGTATGATGTTGAAAGTAACTGTGATCCTGCTGGTTTAGTTCAGCGTAATGCAAAAAATACTTCCAGATTATTTCTGCGGTAGCATTTGATGTCACGGCCGAGTTGTTTAGTATGCTGTGGATCAATCATCTTCCTCAAAAAGTCATTTAAATTAACGTCTTGGACAGATATCTATCCAGTATTGGTCCGCAGAGGCAAGAGACTATCAGAAAATTAAAAAGGACAATTTTTTCTATGAAACTAAAATGAAACAAAATTGAGGCAAGACGAAGCCTCATAAAAATGCAAAGATGCTTCAGACAGACTGTCTTTTTTTAACTTAGATTTTTATTTTCTTGTAATAAATTAAACAATATGGTGTGCCCACCCTCTTTGCATCCTCTGTCTCTGACAACACAGCCACAGTTTTTTTTTTTTTTTTTTTTTGCAGCATAGCATGCCACTCATATGGCAGTCATCAAAAAACATGACAGATGAATTCATATTTTAGTGAAGCACTGTCTGAATTATCAATACTTAATATGAACCCAGGTCAAAAGCAGGGTTGGTATGCAACATATGATAAACTTGAAAAGCACAGAATTAGATTTAAGTTTTTTTTTAAAAGGAAAAAAAAAAACATCTTTCTCTTTATACATTTCCTCACTTTCCTTTATTTCTCTTCTGTCACTTTCTTTCTTCTCTCCTCTCTTTCCTCTTTTATCTTTGTTTTTCCTCCCCTTCTTTAAATTAACTTTCCTTATTTCCTGCTGCCTTCTCTCCTACAATTTTTATTTTTCTCTCCTACTTTCTTTTTTCCTTCATTCTTTACATCATCCCTTTCTTGCTTCTTTCCTTTCTTTCCTTCCTTCCTTTTCTATGTCTTTCTTTTCATCCACTTTCTGACTTAAATCTTTACCTTCTTTCTTAAAAGGGGCAGTATCAAGTTTTTTTTCAGGCACATAGTGCGATTTTATAGCATTATCAATTAACTTGTATGTTACATTCAGTTGTTGTAAAAATGCTCCATAGATCAAATATGAAATTTTGCTTCCTGATTTAACACCTTGAAATTCGGCCTCTGTCTCTTTAAAAACTCCTGCTCTTTGTCAAAGTCTGCCTTCAGGAAATCATCACAACATTGCTCCTCTATTAACTTTTTAACAACCTCTGAAGCTGCGGGTGAAAGCTGCTCTGTAAGTCGGAAGCTTGGAAACTGCAGCTCTGAGGAGGAGCTGTGCCTCGAAGGCGGAGCTGGGTCCAACCAGGCGTTTTGGACAGCTGACTAATTGCCGAGGGAGATGAAAGGATTTCTCAAACCTGCATGAAAGAATCAAGACAAAACTGCAGGTATGTTGTTGATATGGGAATAACATCATAGCATGATATGAAGCTCAAATAGTTAGATTTTACATGACACTGACTCTTTAAGTCCTTCCTTCTGCCCTACTTTAATATTTTTCTTCTGTTTTCCTTGAGTTATTGCTTGTGTCTGACTTTAGGTCCTTAACTTTTCTGTTTCTTAATTGTCTTTCCTTCCGTGTGTCTTCTGTGTATCTTTGCTTTCAAATATTTGTTTTTGTGTCTGCCCTCATCCATTCCTTGCCTTCTTCCTTTCTGTCTTCCATTCCATCTTCTTCATGTTTTTCCTTCTGCATCCTTCCTTTTTGCATCACTCCTTTGGCCTGTTTCCTAATTTTATTTCCTGTCTTCTGTTTTTTTCATGTCCTTGATTCTTTCTGTCTTTCTGTACGTCCCTCTTTCCTCACCATCTTTCAAACCCTTTTCTTCCTTCATACTTTCATATTGTTATTTTAAACAGTCTAATTTGGAAAATGCCTTGGTCTTTTGCGTGAAAAATCTGCTGAAACCATGTAGAGGACAAGCGCAGAAATTACCAGGGGTTTTGTTTTTTTTTTTTTGTTTTTTTTTTTTCTAATTTATTTATTTTAATCCGTAGGAGTCCCATGCCAATGTTGGGTCGTCACAAAACCAAAAAAAATAAGCTAATATCTGTGCAGTGCATGCCTAATTTGCAGATGAAGCATCAAATTAAAATGTCAGGAGGCTGGTTGGAGGAGCCGTAGCAGTGGAGTCTTAGTGTTTAAATTTATGTCTGAGATTATACCATTTTCAAGGAAGGTGCAATTTGTGCAGCGGCATTACCGGAGCAACACCATGTTATTAGTTTCAACAATTTTCAGTCGTGTTAATGCCATAAAGGAAGGAAGGAAGTCAGGAAGGAAGACTGTATGCCACCTAGCGGGATGTGAATAACCCATATATCTCGCCACCAATTAGTATTAGGCTGTACTGTAAAGTGACAGGAAACTAATTCATAAATACTGTAGCGACATGAAAGAGGAGGGAAGCCTTCCACGGAAGAAAAATAAACTGTCAGTCTTGCAGAGATAGGAGAACATCAACGCAGCCATTCCAATTACTTCAAGGTTAACTATGAAACACTAATAACTTCAGGGAACTGAAGAAACAAAACACTGTTAGCTAATAACATAAGCAAGTCATTTAGACTGATTGATGCAACATATTAGCTTGCCCTCCCTTTCCCCTCATTCTCTTTCTATATCTCTCTCCTCCTAATTTGCTCTTTCATATACCAGAGCTGTGCCTCCTTTTGGCAGCCCCGTCTCCATGGCGGCCCTGCGCCTACACAATAAGACGCTCCCCTCGCTCAGCTGTAAACCACAATCAACTGGTGAGCGACTGGCAAAGATTTATCATCATCAGCTGCAGAACTCCAGCTCTCCTAACGTGTGAGCTGGCACACTCTGCAGATAGAGACAGAACTGCAGGCACCGAGTGCCATTACTGCGCGAGACAGAGGTCAACCTCTCTGGCACTGACGTGGAGTAGCAGCCGTCAGCAGAGCCGCGCCAAGTTTGTATTAGGTCCTAAGCAGACTTTGATACGGGACTTCAATTCCAGTGTACATTATTTGTTAAATATCAGCTGTAAGTAGATTTTGAAGGAAATACTTTTCCTGACTCAACAAGCCGGTTCATATTTCTCCAAGATATAAAGTGCTCAAGTTAAGCTTGACTTTATATGTGGGCTTCTTTAAAAACCCGAGACTAAAAGGCAGGCAGCAAAGAATGTAATCAAGAAACAAAGCGATGGAGGTAGGGCACAAGGACAAACCCAAGGACAAAAGAACAGCGGAGAAGGCAGGAGACGAGGAAGAAAAGAGGGAAAGAAGGAACTGTGAGAAAGATGGAGAAGAGACGTCTGAATGGACATGAGAAAGAAGGGAAGCAGTGCAGAACACAAAGACGGTGGATTCAGAAGAGGCAGGAAGCAAAGAAAGAAACAATGAAGGAGACATGTAATGAACAACAGAAGAAAAGAAAGTAGAAATGACACAAGAAAGAGAGGTAGGACACTGGAAATGAGGGATAGAAGAAAGGAAAGACATAAGACAGTGTGGACAGCACTAAGAAGGGAAAAAAAGGAAAAGAGCAAGTAAGAAAGAAATGAAGAATAGATTGAAGGACATAGGAAGGCAAGACAGAGACATAGAATGAAGTATATGGAAATAAAAAAAAATATTTCCCACACTATTTTTTCTCTCCATACTTATCAAGAACCGGTAAATAGTGAAATCAAATTCTGTAATTTTTCAGACTGCATAGGAACTCTTGTATGGTTGCATAACAGTAATTACATTGGTACATTGCCATAAACTAATTTACAAAGTCTCGAAGCCTGCAACAGATTAAATATTCTATTGTGTGTGTCGAACCCCTAAGAGCTTTATTTATTTATTGTTATGGCTTTTATCACAGAAGAAACATAGTGTGTTTCGTACGTGGTCATGCCATGATATTTGCTTGTTAAAAGTTGAATAATAATAGCTCATTTTGAAAACAAGCCCAGTGGAGATTTGAGCTCATGTTCTATTTTATCAAGAAAATACTCTTCTAGGAGTGCTAATTAGGTCCCCCTTCATTTCCATTGAAGTTAAGGCGAGAATCTCAGCTTATTTCCATGCAACGTGTGTGTGTGTGTGTGTGTGGGTCTCATTCTTGGGTCTGTTTGAGGTAAAGATGAAACAGCTGGATGTGGAGTTCATGACGTTGTGGATTACTCGCAGATGTGCTTCAGCTGAAAATGAACACTCGAACGATCTGATTGCTGAAACCTCTTCAGCACATACTCGTCTTTTGTTTGTCATCAGCCTTGAATGTCGCACATCCTTCGCTCTGCAGATGATGCCACATCAGAG